CCTTTTTAAAGCCACTTTCCTGCTTTTGTCTGGCAGGTTTTCAGGGTCAGTTTCCAATATTCTTTTCTCTGTTTTTCTCACCCTCTCTCTGACTTCCCAAATTAATTTTTTTTAATGTTTATTTATTTTTCAGAGAGAGAGAGCGCGCACGCACGAGCAGGGGAGGGGCAGAGAGAGAGACACAGAATCTGAAGCCGGCTCTGAGCTGTCAGCACAGAGCCCTAAGGGGGCCTTGAACCCACTAACGGAGAGATCGTGACCTGAGCCGAAGTCCCACTTCACCGAAGTTACAGCTTAACCGACTGAGCCACCCAGGCACCCCACTGATTCCCCAAATTAACTATGTCCATGGTTATGAAATATTTATCCCTTACGTCTTCGTTCATCATTCCTCATTCACCCATCCAACGCGCATTTTAAAAGTGCCTAAGTGGGGCGCCTGGGTGGCTCAGTTGGTTAAGCGTCCGACTTCAACTCAGGTCACGATCTCGCGATCTGTGAGTTTGAGCTCCTCGTCGGGCTCTGGGCTAATGGCTCAGAGCCTGGAGCCTGCTTGGGATTCTGTGTCTCCCTCTCTCTCTGCCCCTCCCCCCTTCACGCTCTGTCTCTCTGTCTCAAAAATAAATAAACGTTAAAATAAAATAAAAGTGCCTAAGTTATGCAATGCCCTAACGAAGTTCAGTCGTCAGCAAATAAAAATATAGGAAACTAGGTTCAATTTGAATCGCATATAAATAACGAACGATTTCTTGATATAAGCATGTCCCATGCAATGAGACACTGTGGAGGGGATGGACTATAATGTAATACAAGTGCTATAAAAGCACATTCAAGGTGCTTCGAGGAATACTGCCTCGAGAGTCAGCCTCAATTCCGATTAGACCGATTTAGAACGAATTGCCTTGTTCTAGCGGGAGAAACGTACACAGCGTTTCCAGATTGGAGGGCTAACTGTACGAACCAATACTCATCAGCCGGCTCTGCCAGCGGTGGTCGCTAGATGCCGCCACAGACGCATTTACTGAAACCATAGAAAAACAGGCGACTAGCCCGCCCAGAGAGGCTTCATGCAAAACCCTCCAGATCCTCCTCGGAACCTCCGGGGCTGGGAGAGCTGCAAAGCGCGAGGGGAGTAGGTCTCACGAGAGCAGAAGCAAGTCTCGCGATTTTTTTTTTTTTTTGCCTCCCTAGCGACTGACAACCTGGGCAGGCAGTCGAAGCAGTGGCCTCATCTGATATTGGAGTGAGACCGGCCAGCCAGGCTGGGGGTTGCTCCTATGGGGGGGAGACGGATTCAGAGGGGCTACAGGTAATTCGTACTCACCTTAGCAGAAAGAGAGGTCCCTTTCTCCCTCCCGGGAGGAATCTTCACTCCCCTTCCCTCCATCCCCCCATCTCTTCCCATCTCCGTGACAACCGTTACTTCTCTTCCTTCACGCCACCAGCTATCATTCGGCTTCCTTTACTTCCCCAAGAAACTTCAGTGGGGTCCGACCTTCAAGACAGGGGGTAGAGATGGGGGTGATGCGCTTGGGATTATTGGATGGGACTGAGAAACTGGAGTTTACCCTCTCTGCAGGTAAACAAGGGGACTCCAGAGACACACAGAACCTCTACAGCCCCCTAGCTCCCTCCCCCCAGCCCCGACACCCCAACAGCCTTGGGGGAAAGTGACCATAAGGGAGAAGAGCTGCCTCTTTTTTTTTTTTTTTTTTTTAAATTTTTTTTCAACGTTTATTTTTTTTGGGACAGAGAGAGACAAAACAGGGCTGGGAGGGCAGAGAGAGAGAGAAGGGAACACAGAATCAGGCTGTAATCCAATCTGAGCCATCAACCCAGAGCCCGGCATGAGAATTTCCTCACAGGACATGAGATGTTGACTCTAGCTGAAGTCGGACGCTTAACTGACTGCGCCACCCAGGAGCCCCGAGAGCTGCCTCTTAAGACAAATACTGTTGTGCCCGTGTGCGTGCATCTTACAGCTCTGGGGAGCTGGTCCCCTCAGTTGGCTGTCGTTTCCCTCCACGATTCCCTTGATGCTCAGCCAGCCTGCCAGCAGTTCCTAAACAAGAGCTGCAGCAGAATGATTTAACTGCTTGACTTGGGCCAAGAAGCCAAGGAAAATTTGAATGGGGGTAAAGGTTTCATGTAAGACTGGTGTCTTGGGTAAGGAAGAGGAACCACTACTGGTTTGGAATCAGCTCATATCCGGTGATACGAGCTATGTAATTATGTCTCCTTTTACCTAGACCAAAATTGTAGAAAACCAGACCTACGATGAGCGTCTAGAGATTAACGACTCTGAAGAGGTTGCAAGTATTCATCCTCCAACCCCCAGACCCAAAGGTAAGAGAGGACGGGAGAGGAAGGAAATAGCTCTCAGAACAAAAGAGCAGGATGGATTCATGAATGTCTCCAAGAAGTTCCTGTTTTACTGTAATAGCAAATGTTGGCTTTCAGAGTCCAGTTTGGCGAACAATTGGCCATCATTTCCAACTAGTTAAGGGAGGAGAAAACCCAGCCCCCCAGACGCAGGGTCTTCCTCCAACCTGACCAGTGTTCCCTATCTCCGGTGGCTTGGTGCTGCGGCTCTGCTCACAGTCGGCCAGGGATTCACGTTTGTCTGTTTGCTTTAACTTCTCAAAACTGTTTTTGCACAGTTTTGAAGATGCTTCAGTAACCTGCCCTTAACTTGGGATCCCAGTCAAAATCTCAGTGGAACGTGTTAACAGGACTTGACCCCCTCATTTAGTCAACATACATGTTTTGAATGCCTACTGTGTGTCAGCCTTCTGCCTGGCACTAGGTATACAGTATTAAAAGAGATACTGACCGTGCCATTCGATGCTCGTAATCACGGGAGACAGATGACAAATGGATAAACATAATGACAAATGTGGTGAGTGCACTGTTGGAGGCAAAGAGTGTGATGTTACAGAGGATAATGATGAGGAGTGGGATCTTCGTTTGATAGGGGGGTCAGGGAAGACCTGAGGGGGTGGTGACATTTGAGACTGAAAGATGAGAAAAATCCACATATTGAGGAGAAGTGGGGCAGGAAAAGGAAGAAGCCAGTGAAACGTGAAAAGGAGTTTGGGTTCGTTTGAGGCCTTGAAGGAGACCAGCGTATGGTAGGAAGGAGTGGTTTCCAAGGCAGGCAGGAGGTAAGTAGGGAGCCAAGGCTCCTGTTGCAATGGCGAGCTGAGGCGATAGTGACCCGGATGTGGTGAGGAAGGGGAGCGTAGAGAGGAGAGGAAAATGCAAGATACTTGCTGATGGATTGGGTTTGGCTCTTGAGTTAGGAATCAAGGATGACCTCTGGGGTGGCGGTAAATATACCTAACATAAAATTTGCCATTTTAATCATTTTTTTTTTTTAAATTTTTTTTTCAACGTTTATTTATTTTTGGGACAGAGAGAGACAGAGCATGAACGGGGGAGGGGCAGAGAGAGAGGGAGACACAGAATCGGAAACAGGCTCCAGGCTCTGAGCCGTCAGCCCAGAGCCCGACGTGGGGCTCGAACTCACAGACCGCGAGATCGTGACCTGGCTGAAGTCGGACGCTTAACCGACTGCGCCACCCAGGCGCCCCTTAATCATTTTTGAGTGTACGATTCGGTGGCATTGAGTGCATTCATATTGTTGTGTAACTATCTCTACTGTCTATTTCTAGAGCTCCTTCATCATCCCGAACAGAAACTACTCGTTAAACAATAACTCGCCATTCCCCTCTCCCTGGCAGCCCCCGGTAACCTCTGTTCCACTTGGTCTCTATGACTTCACTTATTCTGGGCTCCACAAAAGTGGAATCATACAATAGTTGTCCTTCTGTGTCTGGCTTATTTCACTTAGCATCGTGTTTTCGAGGTTCATTGATGCTATAGCACGTGTGAGTTTCCTTCCTTTTTATGGCTGAATAATATCCCATTGTAGGTATAACCGCATTTTGTTTATCCACTCGTCTATTGATGAACACTTGGGTTTTTTCTCTCTTTTGGCTATTGTGACTCTGCTGCTGTGAACACGGGTGTCCAAGTATCTTTTTGAGTCCCTGCTTTCAATCTTTTGGGGATATATATATATACCTAGACAAGGTTTTTGACTTGAGCATGCTTATAATCTTGCCGGCTGTTGACGTTACAATTTGTTTTCAGTTTGGGCAAGGTAGCAGGCTGAAAAATGGTGTTTAATTGGCATTAATTTGATTTACATTTTTTAAAATATTTATTTATTTTTGAGAGAGAGAGAGAGAGAGAGAGAGAGAGAGAGAGACAGAACACGAGCAGGGGAAGGGCAGAGAGAGGGAGACACAGAATCCGAAGCAGGCTCCAGGCTCAGAGCTGTCAGCACAGAGCCCGATGCGGGGCTCAAACTCACCAACGGTGAGATCGTGACCTGAGTCACCCAGGTGCCCCTGGCTCAATTTGATTTAGAAATCATTGAACATGGTTTCCATGCCAGTTACTATCTTATATCTGGTTATACTTTTAATTGTTCAGAATATTTTTATTGCTTTTCTGGACCCGGATTCAGTTCATATTTGTGACTATTACTTGCCAGGAGCTGGGTCAGTTCCTTTCACCTGAGTTTTGTCATTTGATCCTTGTAACGGTCTTGAGTGATGGATGTCACTGCCTTCCTTCAGATGTGGGAATACTGAGACTCAGGCTAAGAGTTTCAAGCCATAGAGTTGCTCTTCACTCCCGGCCTTCCCAGTGTGTAAACTAAGGGCAGATTGTATATAATTTATGTAACGGCAGATAATCCACTAGTATAATGTGTAACCTAATGCCTTATGCACACTAATGCTTAGTATATATATCCTGAATTGAGTTGACAAAGCCATGACTAGAATTCAGACTTCTGTCCTTTAGCCATAAAGCAGAGCATAACATACTATAAACCAAAAATATTTGTCTTTAAAGATCATATTACTAACCTAAAAGGAAAACTTTTCTTCTAAGGACTTCTTGGTTCTGCCCAGCTTCCTGACAAGACTATGGCTGACAACAGCAGTGATGAGTATGAAGAGGAAAATAACAAGGTATAGTATGACCCACAGTTTCTTGTGGACTTGGGAGTTGTCAGTAGTTAGTCTGGGTGACAGTAGGTCAATAGTAAACATGCCTTTTTTTTTTTTTTTTTT